AAGTAATTGGACTGAGATTGTTAAATCGAACTTCCTCTCAAACCTGACAGAAATTAAGCTGATTTGTTTCCTGCCATCATCCATAACGTGGCTTTTATTCACATAACATCTCACAAATGTGGATAGGCTGCCTTTCATTAAATATTTTCAGCCACTTTTGGATCAAGTCAAATACATTTTTAGCAGCTTAGGGAAAACTGAATGTGTGAGCCCAGTCTCTGAAATGGTTAAGCGGTGGCCTGTCGCTTCCTCTCCAAAGAGATTGAATCCAACTGATAAGAGTTATGCTGAATCCTCAAGGCTGCTCTGAATATCTTGTGTGCTGCGCGAGAAAATGTGCTGGCGTTTTGCTCCACAGGATTCCTTTTTATAATGGTTAACCACACATTTTACTACACAGGCTTTCTTTTCTAGACTGATTTAACAAATTCATTTTATAAGAAGCTACTATTTCACATTCATTTTATTGAAATGTGGAATTATTGTAGTAATATGAATAACAGATGTGGCAAAATAAGCGGTCAATTGGGAATTGCGTTTGCTAGTTGGTGTTTCAGCACCATGGACAGGTCCACAACACAACTTAATCTTATTGTTTCCTTACCACTAGTTTGGTGATTTCTTATGAGTTAGTCATTTAGCTGAACCTCCCTGTGGTTTGAACAATTGGATACCAAAACAGAATTTTTAACTATTTTAACCATTAGACTATACTGCACATCTCATGTAAAGCCAGCAGTGCCTCAGAAGTTTAGTAAGAGTCTCAAGGTGGATGAAGAGATGGACCCTTCCATTTTTTAAATTTAATTTAATTTTAGTATAATTAGTATAATTTATTCATATTACCATCTGGGACTATCACTAAGCCACAGTATACTTTTGCACAACGCTTATAAATTATGCATAAATTAGTTCAGTATGGATAAGGATACTAGTAATTTAGTCTAATAGTAAAATATACTTAAATGTATGAAGTATATTTACTTACTTAATGTAAATCATAATACAGGCTTCTTGATCACCTCGCTGACCTTTTGTGTTCCCTGGAAAAGACAAAGAGCCTTATTTACTTTCATAGAATGGAAAAGAGATATAAGTAAAGAAATAAAAGTAATACCTGCTGAATATCTGCTTTTGTGTTTCACAGACGAAAGACAATCAGACAGGTTTGGAATTACAACTTTTTTCATTTTTGACTGATCTCTCCGTTAAAATTAAATGTTGTGTTGCAGGATAAACAATGAGATTTGAAAGCCATAATTGGTAGAATTAAAGAAATTGCAAATGATCATACGTTTTTCATTTATTAATATTCATTACAGAACACAATGAATCATTTATCGTGAATCAACTTACAGAAAGTTAAAGAAAGTTACTTTTTTTCTGTCATTATCTCGGCATTTCTCTCTCAGCTCTTTGAAGACATGACGAGTGAGCGCTCCTTATTACTGCCTCCGTGTTTCTGTCTGTGTTGAGAGATGAGCGGAAGAAGAACTAGTCCCTAACCTACGCAACTATTTGTTCATATGATTCATTTTTTCACTTCGGCGCTCTTGACACACAATCATTTTTGAGAATAATAATAATAATAATAAAATAGAAGAAAGCACTAGTTAAAACACGTAGTGTCGATATTATTGATGTGAGATTGACCGGTCCTCGCGATAAACCAAATACTAAAATCGATTAAGATTAAGATCGATCCGCCCATCGTTAGTGAGAATGAGACGTTCGCTCTTTGCGACGGGAGGAGCGTCTCTCTTATTCAAGCGCCTCATCTCACTCACGGTGAGTCAATCAGCAAAACTGACCGAAGGGATTTCTTCATGGAGTACACCTGCAAACTTTCCGCTGCTTTTAAGTTACGCCTTTTAACTGTGTAGAACATCTAAGTAGAACATCGACGCCTCGTGTACCTGTGCTTTTTTTTATCAGATATTGAAGAACATATTTCGGGGAGATTAAACGATGTATTTCAGTGATGGCATAAGTAGATCATGGTCGCTGGGGGGTTTGAGGAGATATACAAAATCTTAAAAGAAGAGGACTACTTGGTATCTCGACAAAAGCATCACCTCAGAAACATGAGGGATTGTCTCCTGTGGAACTTCGCCAAAGTGATTCTGTTCTGGACATTAGTTGATGCTCAGGTAAGACGCTGGGTCTTTACAGGAGTGACATGTGTTTTTTTTGCTTTTCTTTTGTAAGGGCACTAGTCCAGATTAACCGTTAAAAATGTTAAACACTGACCAAAACAACTTAATAGTGCATATACATATTTAAGACGTGCTTTGTGTTACATTATATAAATTCCTTTTCAGTTTTTATGGTAAATGATAACGATAGAAATTTCTTTAAAGCAAATGATCTGAAGAAGTTACGATTTGATTTGACAGAACGAATGTAAACCTGTGAATGTTTGAGTAACACTTTACAATAAGGTTCATTAGTTAACTAGGCCTATGAACAATACTTCTACAGCATTTATTAATCTTAGTTAATGTTAATTTCAACATTTATTAATGCATTATTAAAATCAAAAGTTGTGCTTGTTAACATTAGTTAATGGACTGTGAATTAACATGAACGAGCAATTAACGACCGTTTTTTCATTCACTAACATTAACACAGATTAATAAATACTGTAATAAATGTAGCCTATTGCCCATCGTTTGTTCGTGTTAGTTAATACATCAACTAACATTAATTAATATAACCTTATTGTAAAGTGTTACCAATGTTTGATTTCAACCAACCATTTTACCCAAACACTTTATCTTTACACACACTTAATAAAAAATATAATTATATATAATTTATAAAATATAAATATATAATTTAATAATATATCTTATATTATTTTTCATTGGTATAATTCTATCTATCTATCTATCTATCTATCTATCTATCTATCTATCTATCTATCTATCTATCTATCTATCTATCTTTCTATCATCTGTCTATCTGTCACTATCATTATATCTTATTTGATAGTGTGTATTTATTTTAAATTACATAAAAAATTCAAGTTAAAATGAAAATGGTCCTTCTGCTTTATTTTGCTGAAACTTCAGATGCAAATAAGGACTTACTAAATCTGATCCTTAAAATGTCTTTAGCTGAATAAAACCAGTTGATTTAGTATAGATGTTATGACTATGAAATCATGTTTATTTTTTAAGCTAACAAAACATTTTTAAAATGCAGTTAGATATTGACTGAACTATGATTCATTTTCAAATGCAATTGCACAGCCAACTACACGTTTTCTTTTTGCGTGAAAGCTGTAATCTTATCCCTAATATGAGACAGAATGGAACAGTGGAGGTTTTTATGAAAGCTTGGTGTGTTTCACAGCTCTTATCCTCTCTCCAAACTAATAATCTTGATTTTACTTTATAAAGAGTTGCTACTGCCTATAAAAATGCGTTGTCAGGTAACCTAAAATGTGACTTATGTGGTAACATCTACATTTCATTCAACAATCTTATTTAACATGACTGAATCAACTTAAATTGGGTGGAAATAGACCCTTACGGCACTGCACGTTTCCTTCTTTTTTTTACATTGAGCATGGAAAGCATACAATACGCATGCATGTTTTTTTTCTCCATTATATATTTTTGACGCATTGTTCACTCTTGGTCTGCCATTGGCAGTCAGAAAACCAGTAAATGCAGTCACTCGAATGAGCATATATAGACCTGTGCTGTGGGTGAAATGACACATAAAAACACACTTGAGTGGCTTGTGCTTTTGTTCATGCATTAATGAACTAAATAAATTGTGTATTGTTTTGCTGAATGATTTCTGTTTAATGCACACTCATATAAACCTGCAAGGTTTTGCCACTGTATTGCCACTTTAATCAGTCTGAATATGCTACTGTATGTTCTTTGCAACATCAAAAAAATTATGCTTGTTCATCTCACAATTGTGCAGTAATCAACATAGCACAGTTAAACTGAATGCTTTGTAAGATCCATCTTTTATGAGGGTCGGCTTGGTCATATTGCAAGTCTCATGTCATGCCTGTTAATTATTACCTTAAACACCTGAAACTTACTCCTATTACATTGCCAGCAAGTTGCAGTAATAAATTAGCAAGCCATGAATGCATGCATGCAAAAACGTGCTCATCCTGTGAGAATAATCTAAAAAATGTGTTAAATGTTGCACATCCAAAGTAGTTACATCTGAATGTGTTACATCTAAATTAGTGGTTCACAACCTTTTGACTCAAAGGCCCACCACTCATAAACATCTGTTTAAAATCCACACTAGTTGATCTAGATATAGTAACTAGTTGATCTAGATATCTAGAAATAGAAAATCTAGATATAGTGACCACTTACTGTTGAGCTGGCAGACAATCCAGGAACCTAACTAAATGCAAGAAAAGCTAAAAAAGTGAAAATTTAATCTGATTTCCTCTTTAATGCACAGACTTAAGATTCACAAGTGTGTAGAACAGTCAGTGATGAGTGTTAAACAAAACTCCGGCGTTTTGAGCATATTGGGTGGATGCTCCACTGACTAAGTAAAACAACTCTGATTGGGCACTATAATTTATTGCACAAGCACACTTGCTGCCTCTGCATGATGTGGCAGTGTGAGCCTCTGGGCACTCATATTAGGCCATGCCAGATGGATATAATCCAGTATCCATGCACAAAATAGAAAACATGCCCCATAGGTGTTCAGATGATACTATGAGTGATCTTTTTTAATTTATTTATCGGATTGTATCCAAAGAAAAGCATAAATGATTCATTTGGAGATGGGAAGGATATATGATGGTTTCCTACTGGGCTTTTACTGTAGCTCATTTTATATTTATCTTGCTGCAGGATTTACTTTAAAGATCAGGAAGGAATGAAAATGTTATATGTCTACATGTCTGTCATGTTACGCTACAAGACTGGGTGATTTCACGTGTCATATCTGAACTTGTCCATTGGTGAATTGACATCTCTGCCCTGAAACTGTTCTGCTCTTAGTTGGTGTGTGTGTCCCAGAGTGGGATGGTCTGATATGTTGGCCGCAAGGCTTCCCTGGAACTCTGACCAAGACCCCCTGTCCCAGATACATCTATGACTTCAACCATGCAGGTTTGAAACATTTGTTCTCTCTCCGTGTCTCATCAACTTTTGTTTTTTTTCTTCCAGTTGTTAACATGCATCATTGTTAGCTCCAATGGAATATTTGTTAATTTGAACTTAAAAAATGAAAGAACAACAACAAAATCACACATAATTTGAAAATTGTATAAGGTCAAGATCAAGAGAAATTAAGTCAGGATAATGAGAAAACTTTTATTATGTCGAGAACATGAGAAATTTAAGTCTTGACAATGAGAAAACAACTTTTAATATGTCAAGATCATGAGAAATTTAAGTCGTGACAATGAGAAAACAAGAAAGAAAAATAATAATCCATGGCCTCTCAGGGCCTCATTACCTTAGTCAGTGTAGCACCATGTTTAATTTTTGACCACATTGAACAAGGCTGTGAGAGATAGAGGTACAGTGCACATACTAATTGTTCAGCTGGCGAAATGTCTTTCCAAAAAAAAAAAAAAAGACAAAAAAGTAGACAAAAATTCCATAAAGCAGTTTTGAAAGTAATGAAAATTACATGATCTAGGACCTTTATAAAGTGTGTACCATTGTAAATACTGTAAGTCTGTCCCTTAAAGCTTCATTTTTATCCGTGTTAAAATCAATACCTCATCTAACCTCAAAGCTGTCTATTATTAGTGAATGAGAACCAATCTCTTCTGTTGGAAATTATAATATTACCCATACAATTTCTGAAGTGTGCGGTTTGTATACTATGTGCATATGTGAATTATCTGAATACGTGGAATACTCACAGTGCAACTTCCTTGATTTTAACTTCAATTTTTAGTGTGATAAAAAAAGAACTGGAAATTATTTATTTGTAATATTTAATCGTTCTTGGCTCATTATTTGATTGATTAACATAGAAAGAAAAATTACAAATGTAACAAACTAACATTTACTACAGTTTTACATTTGTATTGTTGCATAATGTGTACTGTTCCATACTGGCTGTGTTCAGTAAGTCTTTGTCAATCTTCCAGAACACGCTTACAGGAGGTGTGACTCTAATGGTTCCTGGGTGCTTGCAGAGAGCTCAAACAAGACCTGGGTCAACTACACTGAATGCATCAAATCCCCAGAACCCAACAAAAAGAGAGTAAGCTTCATTACAGTCATTCGTCTTTAATGGACCGAGATAACTTTCTAGGTGGCTTGACGCACCAACTCTTTGTCCCCACAGCAGGTCTTTTTTGAACGACTGCACATCATGTACACAGTAGGCTATGCAGTTTCCTTCAGCTCTCTTCTAGTGGCCATCTTTATTATTGGATACTTCAGGTGAGTAACTGACTGTGTATGTGTGTGTTTGATGCACTTCATCTCATAAACTGCAAAAAAAGAGTTTAACTTATGCTTTAAATAGTTTTCGTGGATTAAAGGGGTCATATGATGCGATTTCAAGTTTTCCTTTCTTTTTGGAGTGTTACAAGCTGTTCGTGAATAGATAAGATCCCTAAATTTGCAAAGACTAAAGTCTCAACCCCAAAGAGATATTCTTTATAAAAGTTAAGACTCGTCCACGCCCTCCTAAAACGCCTCGTTTAAACACGCCCCCACATGTCTACGTCACTGTGTGGAAAGATTTGCATAACGCCACCCAAATGTTCACGCAAAGAAAGAAGGCGTAACTTTATTATTGCTGCCACCACCATGTTGTGGAGACGCTGTGTGTTTCGTTGCGAAAGCGAAAATACTTTGTTAGGCCTTCCAAAAGAGGACACGACTAGAAATCAGTGGTTAAGTTGTATTTACAACACTGTTCCAGAACACTTCAACCCAAATATTCAGATGTGTGCAGCGCATTTTATGGAGGTCTGTTTCCTGATCCTGGGAGAGTAGACTACAATGCTGGCTGTTCTGACTCACAGACTGTAAGTACATTTTCATATTTAAAGAATTTGCCACTGATGATTCAAACGCAAGTTTTGAGCAGTGTAGAGTAGCACTTGTTGTTTGTCATTTCTCCGATCACAAATGCAGACATGGTTTTATGTTTACGCGGTGCGATGCAACGCAACGCGTAAAATGAAGTACAAGTCAGTATAAGTCATTATAATCCGTAATTATGTCCCCACTGGATGCAACAAATGCCTCGTTTATAATGGGTTTTAATGTTTTTGTCTCGTCGCTCCGGGACACGGCATCACAGTATGGGATGGGCGTAACATTTCTGTCACACGCTTGAGGTATTCGGCCAATCACAACGCATTGGATAGCTGGCCAATCAGAGCACACCTTGCTTTTCAGAACGATGAGCTTTGTAAAAATCGATGCGTTTCAGAAAGGCGGGGCATAGAGGAGAAACAATAATGTACAGTATGAGGAAAATAATGTATTTTTTTAACCTTAAACCGCATAAACACATTTCATTACACCAAATACACAAAATAATGTTCTTTTTAGCAACATCATATGACCCCTTTAAAGTCTAATATTAGTCTAATATTTCTCTCTTTGTACTCCGTGCTTCATTAGCAGTACAACGGTCATGTCTTCAGTTTAGGGGAATGTGCCGTTAGCTGCGACATGCCAATACTATTCACACAGTAAAGAAAATGCCTTCTCACATTTTCTTAATTTCCGTTGAAAATAGACCACTGAAAAAACATTAACTTGATTGAAAATTTGGCTTGAGATAAAAGAGTGGCTCAGTTTTTAAAATATGTGCATTTAAAAATGAATGGTACAAAATGTCAATATTAATTGCACTGCAGGTGAGCTGTGGGGAGCAATGTAACATTGCAAAACAATTCTGGACATTGCTTACTGGCAGGGTCGTATAGCACTTTAGAGAGAAAGATGAGTGCAGTCTGGGAAATACAGTTTTTTTCTCTTTCTTTTGTTTTAATTTGATTGTTTATATGCATGCTGACATGTATTTATACATACTGTAGTTTATTATTTTCGTCCATTGTTATCTCTCTCAGGATTTTGTGTTTCCATTTCCAGTGCAGTCTTTCAACTTTAATATAAATTGTTTAAATAAAATATATTGTTTAAATTGTTACTAGTACTACCTTGAGTTTTTATTTTGAAATAAATGTAAAATGCTAAAAAACAATAAACTGATGAGATTTATAGTTGGTTTTAATAAATAGAATAGCCTATTAATTACATTGTTAATGTAAAAATACAAAATAGATTTATTGTGGTATAATGTAAGTAATGTTTATTTAACCAAGAAAATGTGACTGGGACATGAATTTACATTTAATCACAAAAAATGCCTCCTCAATTCAGAACACCAGTTTACAATAATAAGGGTTTTTCTTGCTTGGCTTCAGATAAATATCAGGTTTTCGGATGTAACTTTCAAAACAGCAGCTATGAGATATTGTAAATGAAAACTAGATGAGGTGAGAAAGTTGTTTAAACTTTTGACGTGAGATGTAACAAAGCAAAAGACATTTGAGCTAAATAAATTATGACAAAGCAATCACATCCAAGCTGCTGTGTACAGTAGAATATGTGAGTATTCTTATGCACTTTGAAGTATCTGATGCAGTGGATTGAACACAGCAACTGTTGATGAAATATACCTATCAATGTATTTTTTTCCTGAGGCGAAATTTTGAAAGTGGCAGTTTTTGTTGTGTTGAAATACAGGAGTCAAGCCCGCTCTCAACATGTAGTGCTCTTTCTGACACTTATGATCAGAAATACCCAGAGATATATGAAAACTGTAATTCCTCATTTACTAAAGTAATATTTAAAGGGTACTAAATGTAGAAAGCCTTTATAACATGCCACGTCAGACTTTGGGGATTTTTGTGAACAGATGGTCACTGAGTGTATTAATATTGCATTCATTCTGTCTGTGTCCCCAGTGAAAATGATACACAATATAGAGAACAGATTAAAATTGGATGGGTACACTAAATAAAAATACAGTACATCATAACATTAAGTGGTTTCCAGTTAGTAGTGATTACAAGATACAAAGGATGTATATAAATCTTGTCTTTAATATACAGTAGCAGAATTTTAGCATTATGTAGAAACAACCTAAGCACATTACTTAGTAAACCTACTTTGTCTTAATTTCCCAGAATGCATATTATTTCTGAGGTCTACCATCTTTTCCATTTTCTGCCTAACAAGCCTCATATGTATTTCTGTGTGTTTTCAGGCGTCTCCACTGCACCAGGAACTACATTCACATGCACCTGTTTGTTTCCTTCATGCTGCGTGCTGTCAGCATCTTTGTGAAGGATCACGTGGTACACACTAGTGCCAGGCTGCAGGAATTTGATGCTGTGCTTATGAATAACTTCACTAATGCTGTGGATGTGGCACCAGTGGACACTTCACAGTATGTGAGTCAAGGGCTATCTCATGCATCTTAGTATTAAAGTATTTTATCAAATATTTTTCAAGTATCTTATGTCGCTACATTTCAGATTATGTAATGAATATTTATATTAGGGTTGGGTTATATAGTTTAAAAGGGTAAATGACATTATATTTATGAACAGTGTTGGGCAAGTTACTTCCAAAATGTAATACATTATATATTACTAGTATTTCTCTTGTGGCCCGTATAGTGAAAAACATGAGAAGAAATGTATTTTGCGTTACATGTTGTTTTTGAAAATCTGTGCACAAAATAAAGCTGCTCTTAATTTTCATCGATGACTGCAGTGTTAATAATTTTAATTATAGGCCTATAATTCAATTGTATAAATTAATAGACCTGTTTAAAAAAAACTTTAAAAAAAACATTAGCCTAATTAGGAGTAGCCTAAGCTACTAGCCTAAATTTTAATTATCCTCACAGTGCGCCATACAGCGCAGAACGGCATTGTCATATAGACTATGATTTAACAAAAACAGATTTTGTTATTTTTAGTTAAACTTAATTTTTGTTGCTTGTCTGCGCTCGTCCGCCGCCTTTTTTCTCTTCTCTGACCCCGCAGCTCTCTCTGATAGCTTAGTGTTAGTGGCACCAGTCCAGGTGTTTCCAGGTTTTACTCGTGCTATTTCTCCATGTTGAGAGTTTGGTGTCGCACATATTGCTAAGCATTCTTATCCTTTTCTCCGATAAACTGAAAATAACAGGAGTGTGTCCATCTCACAAATGTAGAATCCGTCTCTGTAGTCATCTCAACCATCTAATTCCAGCAACAGAAGATAGACAAACTATATTACCCGCGGAATTTTCTCTGGTGCTGTTTTGCGCTGTTAGTAATATGTTGTTGTAACTTGCGTTACTGAGATTGTAACGAGTAATAATATTACCCAAATTTTATTAGTAATGCATTATATTACTGCATTACAGCAAAATGTAATATACTACTGTAATATTATTACTTTTGTAATGTGTTACTCCCAACACTGTTTATGAGTGATAAATATACTGTATACACTGTAAACCCTAACACTCAAAATAATTCACTGGTTTGAGTAGGGCTTATGTTAAACAAATTAGTTCAATCAAATTAACTTTTATGAGTATTTAGAACTTTCTTTTTTTAAAGAAAGTGATCTGAATTGTTTCAGTGTTTTGAGTTTAATGAACTTTTCTTTTAATTCTTAATTTAACTGAAAATAGGCTTGGGTTTCTATTTCCCAAGCACTTGAAAGGGAGAGTAAATGCTAAATTATGTTTTGTGCAAGATTAATGTGGGAGATTTAGATATATGTCTATGATATCTATCTATGCAATTGCAAAGCATTGTGCTATTTTGCAAGCTGACTGACTTAGGTAGTTATAAGTTTCCACTACCAACAAATATTTAAGTTGATCATTTTAAGCTGAATAATTTAAATTAAAATGCATGATGTAGATATATTAGGGGTGTAATGATTTTCAAACTGAACCAAAAAACCATGATACACCACCCAAGATACGTATCGCGGTACTCTTGGTACGTTCCGAGGTCCGCCCCCCACCCTCCCCCCAACACATTTCTACAGATGAAACATGAACCTAATAAACACATGATTATGACAGTATATGATTTGTATGTGATTTTCATGAGTTTCTGCCTATTTTCATAACAATGCAGGGTGTTTACATGAGAAATGCTAAGCAGGTGTAGCAATTAGCCTGATATGAAAGGCTACAAATATTTCAGCAACATTATATGGCCAAAACACACATCAGATCGCAATCGAAAGTTATTACAAACATTCAATGGTTTTGAGTCATGTAGTGTGGGCAGAGATCTTTTCTGAAACACAGTATGAAATGTCAGTATGGATGAGGAAAGTTTTCATTTTAAAACGCCGTTTTAAAAAGAAAACACACTAGTGTAAACATAGCCTTAACATTTATGGGGGTCGGACACTTACACTTTACAGCCTCACATGTGAGCCACATCTCTGGGTGTTGACATAAACTAGTAGTTGTGTTCGACTTGATGTGGGGCTATGCAGACCGATCGGGTGTATGACATCAAATAACTTTTTTCATACCTATTTTATGAGCTGTGGCTAATTGGGCTCAGATGGATGGATGGAGAAAGGAAGGATTAAGGAAGGGTGTGTAAACGTCAACAGCAATAATGGCTGATTAGCACATATGAAGGACACTTCTAAATGATCTGCTGTCTGTTCCAGGCACAAATCTCTGTGTCGAGACGTGCTGAAGTCACGTTTGGTCTTGTGCTGTATTGCTTACCTTGTCTGTTTCGTGCACTTGCTTTGCCCTTTGTTGTGTTATACAGTAAAGCGTGTTCCTGCAAAAAGACTTGAACAGTGTAAAGAAATACTCTTTGAGAGAAGCAGTAAATCAGCAGAAGTTGAAAGCAGCATGTAAGTGTATTTATTGTCTCATTAGTTTTTAGCACAGTTGTCATAGCTAGAAAATGCTTGTTTTGTTTACTGTGTTGAGATGTGCTGAAGTCGCATTTGGTATCATGTTGTATCATGTACCTTGTCAGTTTTGTGTGCTTGCTTGACCCTTTGTTGTGTTAAACAGTAAAGCGTGTTTTTAATTACAGTTTGTCATAGGGCTGCACGATAAATCGCATGTGATATTTAATGCGCATCTTGTCAGTAAAGCCACTTCTGTAATCAGCGGTAAATCTCCATCACGTGCGTGCTTTCACATGAAGCAGCATTTACTACACAGAGCCGTTGTTCACAGACAAGCTGCGCAAAACCACGTTCATATATGATCGTGGTTTTGCGCAACTTGTCAGTGAACAACGGCAAAAGACAAGACCCGCAAATCCGTGGCCACAGAATAGCAGAATATGAAGGTCTTTTTAAGTGGGAGAACTTGCACAATTGGTGGCTGACTAAATACTTTTTTGCCCCACTGTGGGTTGCACCAATAAGGATTTATCTACTGTATTGTCTTTATCATAGTCAATTATTATGCCACATTAAGCATTTTGCTGTATGGGAGGACAAGTGAAAGTTTGCGCATTGTGTTCATAGCCATCTGTTTGCCTTGTAGTACATTAAATATTAACTATATATCGAATTTGATCTTTTAATTGAACTTAATGTATCTTAATACATTACGCCATGTTAAGTGTTTATGTTTTTCTACAGGAGGAAAATGCTTAACGAGAGACTTTGTGCATTGCGTTCATATTCTGCTGTTCTGTGGCGACGGATTTGCGGGTCTTGTCTTTTTCTTGCAGGACCCTGTATGTTATAGTACTAAATTAGTTTTAATCATTTAATCACCACCACAGCGCTTGTCTCCATTGGCAACATGCACCATTTGTGTCGATTGCAAGTGATGTCGCAGGTATCGGAGAGTGCAAGTGGCGGTTGCAAGTGACATTGTAATTTAGTTTATTTTTCCTTGTCTTCACCACCTGGCTACTGTAGTAAAATGTTGAATTTACTACACAGAAAGTAATCAATAAATAGAACAAAATAAAAAAATAAAAGACTGCAAGTGACGTCGCTAGCGGAAGCGCAAATGTCTGAGAGTGCAAGTCTGAGAATGCAAGTCTGAGAGTGCAAGTGCAAGGCTGCAGCTAGACCCTCTTGAATCAAACTGCCACTGATTGACAGCAGCTGTGGTGATTATATTAAAGGGAGTGCTCTTTGCTCACTTTCTGTATTTAATCTATTCATAATTTGAATAAAAATTTTAGCCTTCTTTTAATCTAGGCCTTTTAGACCTCCAAGTATCTGTATAGCACAAATTGTTCAAAATAGATTGTTCACAAAATGTACGCAGTTATATTGTTTACACGATGATAAAATAAATGAGTTTTGTCTACCTCATGTATGAGATGTAATGCAGTTCGGGTCGCGGTTTTTATGTAAAACGGGTCGAGTACGAAATTAAATAAAGTGTTTCCGTCGGTTAATGGGTCGGGTGTTCTGTTAATTACTGGGGGTGCGGGTTTATCAAACAGGACCCGTGCAGGACTTTGCCTCAAGCTGCAGACTTCCACACTCTGCTTGCCTCTTTTGATCTCAAGCGAGTGTTAACTGCGGTTACTCACAAATCAGGTAACCAATTTGACATTATTTATACACCACTGCTCCACTGATCATGTGCTGGTTACTCCACTGCACATCTCGGATCACTTCCTATTATTGAATTTCATGATTTATGTGTGTTTGTTCGCGGGAAAGTGAGCAAGACACGACAGTTACAGTATCCTGATTGTTTAAATAAGATAAAAGACATCTAATATAACCAAATTACATTTATTTTCAAACTAAATATCACAACACACATTTTATAATTTAGTCGAGTCCTTTTAAATATGATAATGTAAGCACAACTTGTATAGATTTATGGAGTAAAATCTCAGCATGCTTTAATTTTGTGTCTCTAGACATTTGCATCAATAAGGCTAAATTAAGTCTTTCTTTTGGTTTGTGCACTGGAAGTGATCTGTTAATTCTGCTAAGATTCAATTACTAAAACTAAAACTGAAAATAAACTATATAAAAATGAAATAGAAATGTGTTCACAAAATAAAAACTAAACTAAAATTAACTAAATTATTAATGAAACTAATAAAATAAATACAATTTATTTCAAATTTGAAAACGATATTAAAATAAAACGAATTTAAAAATGCAAAACTATAATAACCTTGCTCCCAAGGTTATTTCTCCATTTCTGTCACAGATGTAGTTTTGGTTTTGGCTTGCTTAGTTGGGGACGCTTGACTGATTACACAGACACTATTAGAAGAGAGCTGATCTGGATGCTGACATCACTGATTCATCAGTGAACTGACGTAAGCTGGAAAAAAGACTCTTTGTTATTGTCTTTTTGCATTATTGACAAACTATTTTCCTGTTTGACACTGTAAATCTGCTTTGACACAATCAGTATTGTATAAAGCGCTATACAAATAAAAGTGACTTGACTTGACTATATATAAAA